GCTCGAGGTTGCTGCCTAGGAGGGAGGCCGGGCAAGCGGCTGAGCGGCGCGGCTCTCAACCCGACGGGGAAGTGGCGCGGGTGGCCGTGGCTCAGTGCTCCAGGGCGGACAGACAGACGACAGAGGCGGGGGCCGGGAGCCGAGCCGGGCGACCTAGAGAGCCAGCGGGTCAGGCTCAGCGTCGGCCACTCTGTCGGTGCGCTGAATGAAGTACCCGCCCCGGTGAGCCCCGAACCCGGCGCTTTCCCCGCAAGATGGACGGTTTTGCCGGCAGCCTCGGTGAGTACGGTTGCTGAGTCCTTCCTCCTGCGCAGAGTGGGTAGTTTGTTCCCTCCGCACACAGCCCAGGCCCTGCTCTCCACCCTGCCCCTGGGGTGGCAGTAGTTCCCCCGCACATGTTCCCTTCCAGGCTGCCGCCCCTCCACAGGCTCCGGGGACTGAGAACCCCTCCCCCCATGTCCAGCCTCCTCCAATCAAGACCCTTGTTTCCTCCCAGAGGCCCCTTCTGTGCGAGGCCCTCCCTCCCCAGACGTGGGAGACCCGTCCCCTAGCAGAGAGGCCCCCAAGAACTGATACACCTCTTCCTGTGCACTTATGGCTCCACCACAGATTCCTCCTCTCTTAAAGGTTGTGACACCCCTTCCTCAAGCTCAAACCCCAACCCCCCTTTCAGGGTACAACATTTCTCCTCCTCTCCGTATTCCCAGTTTTTAGCGGGGAGGACACCCCTTACCCACTCTGAGGCTCTCTTTTAGAGTAGGGACCTCTATTCCCTCTTCAGGGAGGGGATACCCTCTCACTTTTAACTTTAAATTTGGAGATTTCTTCTAAGTATCTCTCAAAGTAACTGACATCTTCCTTTCACGCCCTCCATGTCTCTGAACATTTTACAGAGGTGGAGAGACGCAAAAGCGCAGAAGCATCATTTGCTTAGTGCAGAAAAGGAAGAGGTGCATCTGCATTGGGAGCTCCTCTGTAAGAGAAGAGTGAAAGCAGAAGTATTTTCTGGTTCTGCAAGCACTGCTGGGGAGAAGTAATCCTGCCCAATGAATCCATAGGAAAGGGGGCCTCTGTCAGGGAAAGCAGGGATTCTCCATTTTTGGAATATGTTGTCTTGGTGGAATGGAGGAAGAGAGTATTAAGTGGGCTGAAGTATCCTTTCAGTGTTCCCTTTCACCAAATAAAGGTAGTAAACTTTGTAGCTGGCTGGGGAAATCAGAAATCGAGGCTGGTACTCAGTACCTTATAACCTATGTCTGGAATTACTATTCTTTGAAGCCATTGGAATCTGGTTACTATAAGGATTGAACTCAACTGTTATGATGGTGAAAGAAACAGTTACTGCTTTGGCGCATATTGCAGTTATGTGATACCTGCTGCTGGATTTGTATTTTGAGTATTTTATGTGGAGATAGCTTGTATTAAGTGCCTTTCTTGATAATAAATCCCTGGTCGGTTAATGTTCATGGCTTAGTGCCCATAACCATAGGCCATAATTTATCCAGACATGCTGGATTTTTTTTTTTGTTAAGTTGAACAGCAGTGGGCCCATTATAGGTATTAAACTGTAAATGCCACAGTGTTGCCCCTGTCTCTCTCTTTTTTTGAATAAAGGTCATTGTTATTAGAGTGCTTAGAGAGTGGAGATCCTAAAATAGAGGCAACTGAGTGTTACTCTTTCCTCTCCAAAGGCACCTGTTGTCCATTATCTAACCTTTGATGTCTTATAATTCCTTACATATTGGGGTTGTTCCATTCTTGGGCTCCTTTTAAGTCAGTTCTTCATTTGTTCTTTTTTAGCCTATGCCTGGGTTTATTCACCAGTTCACATTAGTCTAATAGATTGGTCCTTATGTCTGCCAAAGAGTAATCATACACTATGGCAGAAATCGAGTGTATTGGGGGAAGTGGTGGCACTGTGTTGTCTCTGCACTGTATTGGCTCCTCAGCCTGTAGAATGTGGGATCATTACTCAGTCAGGCTTTACTTTTCTCTGCTTGGCTCTGAGAATCTGTAGAAAATCTAACTTCTGGAGGTCTTGTCAAAGCTTCATTTTCTGTGTTTTGAGGCATTCCTTCTCACCAGTTAGGACAGTCAAGTTTCTTTTGAAACAGTGGATACAAGTTACCCTGACTTGTCCAATTCGTGAGGTAACTGATAGGAGATAATGAAAGATGAAGATAAATTGTAGTTGGGACTCCCACTTTGCAAAAAGCTTTATGCCCGACCCTAATTAGACTAGTTAGATTTTTAAAAATTCATTTGATGCCATCTCTTGAATGGTATATGATGGGACTTTTCCTTTCTTTAGCTACTTGTGTTGATCAGGGCAGGAAAGATGCCTATCAGTAGAGAGGAACCTGTGTCAGCGAAGAGGGAAGGAAATGGTTCCTGGCATTATTTCTGGAGCTACTCCTGAGGAGGATACTTCTCAGCAGGAGCTCTGTACTTTCTCTTTTTGTCCTCCTTGTAACAGTAAAACTAGGCCCCATCTTAATTGAAACCTTAAAGGGTTGGGGGTGGAGGAGGGGTAGTGCTGGTATATTTTACTGGTAGTTTAAGCAGGGCTTTGCTCAGCTCTTGCCAAATTGGCTTGTTTCTGTTCCTGCAATTCATTAGGGTAGAGCTTAGAGTTACATTGATCTTTATTTTATCATCAAGAGGGCCATGCATTTGAACTCTGCTAAATGTTTAATTTTTTAAATTTTTTTAACCCAAGCAAGAATTCTAAACATGTGAAGTTATTCTGGGGTAACAAATATTGAAAGAATTCATTTAGTTTTGAAGTATACATGTGTATCTCCTTTTATTATATACTAGATGGAGTCTTGAAAAATTGTGCGAAGACTACATTTTTATAAGCAAAAAAATTGAGTGTTTTATTGTAGAGATTGATTGTAGAGACGCTGATTATTTAAGGGAATCTGATGCTAAATCATTTTGTAAAGTGAAGAACTTTTAAAATTCAAATAATGGCCCTGATTGTTGGCTGTTTTGAGGAGGAAAATTCCTGTGTTGTGTGCATCACTATATAAGATTTTTAAGGCAATTCAGATATGCAGTGGTTTTTCTGCATAGAGGAATGTTAGGTGATGAGCATGTTCATGAACCATATTAATTACTTCTGTTTTACATAAAAACAACTGAAAGATGCTTTTAATCCCTGGAGCTGATGAATTTTGGACAGTTTGACTGGCAGTTGCTTGTACTCTTGGATTTCCCTTAGCTATCTTTTAGTTCATTTATGGTAATTTTAGAAGGCAAAACTTTTTTTTTTTTTACTTTCTTTCCTTCTTTGAGGGAGGGAGAAGTACCCCCAAACAATCTGTCTTGATGTCCTACCTTCAAATTATGCATATCTAGCTTTCTCTCCCCCTCTCCCCACACACACACACACACAGAGATGATGATGTGTGTGTGTGTGTGTGTATTTTAAACATCTTTGACAAATGTGAGAAACTTGGTATAGCTTTTCTTATTTTCTTAGGGCAGGAGTTGTGTGCATTACATGCTTAGTCTTTTTAGCATTTCTTTTGAATAAACTTATCTTGGAATTAGCCTAGAGGTTAGTGAGAGTTTACATTTTAAAAGAAAGCATATATTTAACCATGTCAGTTTTAACTTTTTCTGCTCCAGGGGTTTAAAAAATTAATTCAAGACCTTTTTCCTTTTTAAGAAAAATTATAATGAATGAAGGTTAGTACTTACAAGAAAACATCACTTTCTGGGTACAGAATATCCATATTAACAAATAGTAGCAGTATGTTTCAATTTATGAAATACTATAAGAAAGTAGACTTTTTTTTTTTAATATTGCAAAGTTGAAACTCTGATTTCCCCTCCATTCCCAGCCAAAACTATCTACTTGAACTTTTAATATAGGCTCACTGCTGGGCAATTATCACAGAATGTCTTTTCTTGTAGTTATAAGGTAGAAGGAGTTATTACAGATCTTAAAATTATTACAAATTTTATTTGCACAGTCAAATTATAAACCTGTTGAAGGTTGAAACTCTTATGAGTCTCTGAAATCTCACTGCAGCGTAGTGGGGTTTTCATGATCTGATATAATTAGGAGAAAAAAACAGAACCAGCATATAGTTTACCATTTAAAACCTTTATTTTCACCATCGTTTCATAAAATAAATGACATTCAGTGACCAAAAAACTCTAAAGTATACAATCTCACATAAAAAGTCATTTTGAAAGATTGAATGACAACTCATTGTGTTTTTATTTTTCTCTCATTTTATCTGCAATGAGTGAAAACTTTGTCCCAGACTTTGTTGGGGTATAATAAAGAACTCTGTGCCAGATTCTGGGATAGTGTTTCTTAAGTGCAGGTCATGTGCACTTGAAATCACTTCGGCTGGGGTCCAGACCAACATTAAAAAGGAAGAGAAGGCGCTGGAGGAAGACAGGAAGAATATTCAGTATTGGTTGTTCAAATAATACTGCTTCATAAAACTTACTTAGGTTATGCAGGTTTTCCTCCACTATCCAAAAATACAGTGTTCCTATAAAACCTTTCGTAAGTTGGTATAAAAGGAAGATGTAATTACCGTTAATTTATATGTGATTTTTTTTTTTTTTATTGTGACTTGGGTGAAAGTTTACAGAGCAAATTCACTTTCCATACAGCAGTTCACATACACTTTGTCTCTTGACACTGACTAAAATTTACCACAATGCAACAGCTCCCCTCCTACTTCCTCCTGATAGTTACCTCTTCCCTGTGTCTATCCCTCCATGCACCCCTGCCCCTTGAGCTATGTCCCTCTGCATACACAGCCTTTCTATTCTCCCATGATTGTTCTTTCCAAGGAGTGTATCTGCCTAACATAAATGTTCAACTTATATGCCTGTCTTTTGTTTGGCTGGAAGCCACAGGTGTGGGTTCAATTCCAGACCTGAAGGGCAGTTAGGGGCCATAGTCTCAGGGGTTCCACCAGGCTCCATCAGACCAGCAAACCTGGTCCCTTATTTTTTTTTTCCCCAAATGATTTTGAGTTTTGTTCCATGTTGTTTTCCTACTCTGTCCGGGATCTTCTACATAGATCCCTTTCTGAATGGTTGACAGTGATAGCTGGGCCTCATCTAGTTCTTCTGGTCTCATGGTCATATAGGTTGAGGATCGCATGGTGTGCCAGTGGCTTGGACTAATTGTTTCCATGAATCTTTGGTTTTCTTCATTCTTCTTTGCTCTGGCCGAGGAGAGACCCATCGTTGCATCTAGATAGCTGCTTGTAAGGTTTTTAGATGCCAGTTGCTACTCGCCA